GGTCTGAAACCTCCCTTCCAAATGTCAAAACCCTAATTAGTTGCTAATAATGGAAAACCCAACTTCTCGTCTAACTATGACAAGCTATAAAAAGTTCTGAGACAACATCTCGTTCCTTCTCCAAGAAATTGCCTGACTTGCATGAAAATATTAAGCCCCGTTTTGCCCTTATTAAATTTCATTCCATTACATTTTATTTTTTTCTCTTAATCTTACATAAAATAATATTATATGTAAATCGAAAATCTTTCATTTTTTTTCAACCATTCATTTTTTGAAAAAATACTATTCCACCCATTTCCATTTCCAGAAAATGGGGGCCAAACGGGGGCTAAACTAGTTAAGGCTGGCGGAAATCAATGTGGACAGGACATTTAAAAGCCAAACCTTAACTTGATCACAATCTTAGTTAAGAATTGGAGAACAAGAATCAAATTTTTTATTCATGTTTTCGATCGTGAAGCAACTTAAAGAGGAGAAAATCATCTCATATGACATTTATATGCATCCATATTCCCTTTGCAGCTGTGTTTAGGAGACAACGAAGATATTGATCATTCAGTGGCAGATGATACCAAACTGAACTCATCTGTGGCTAACCGACCTGATTTGGATCAGTTCATGGTACAATTATGGGTTTTTTGACACTCTTTTTAAGTAGTAAATATTGTCTATTCTTATCTAGTAGCACTGTATAACAATTATTGTATAGAAACCGTTGCACATTTTTAGACCATCCAAAGATTCTTTTATGAGTTACAAAATCTTTATGCAGGAAGCATACTGCATGACCCTGAACAAGCTCAAAGAAGCAATTAAAGAACCACAACAAGAATCCATGGCATTCATAGAAAGTATGCATTCTCAACTCAAAGAACTAATGGAAGACCCTTCATCCTCCGCTTTATCTCCGTAAGTTGACACGAAGCATATACTTGGTACCGTTAAAGACATAGAAAAATTAAACTTGAGGTCCTATTCGTTATACTTTCCACGCATATCCAATAATTTATATGTTTCATAAAAAACGTAGTAAAAGTTAATTTTTGTTTTTTATTTATTTTGAATCCCCCCCCAAATTACAGGAGCCAGGGTAAGCTGACTTGAAATGAGAACGGATTTAGAGACACGGTCCTGGAATGCTATAAATTATAGATCGAACCTCGACCGACTGGTTGAAAAATAGATTTATTCATCTTTTCCAACAATGAATGTAAAATTATCTAGCTAGTAGGTATTACTAATGTGAACATATTTTTCAGTCATTTAGTAAACTATAATTTCCAGGTAGCTAGCTAGTTAGATGCTTCAACACATTCATTCATTCTTTTACATCGCAATCGCATGCACGCATAGCGGGCCCCATTAGTCAGGGCTAGTTCAGACGATCTGTAATCTTGCGACGTCTAGCACATTTTGATACATGTAGATTATATAGTAGCCAGACGTAATTACACAGTTAAATATTATTAATGCCTGTGTCCAACGTTGTAACTTTAGCAGCAGTAACTATAGTATACATCCCGTAAAAAAACCAGTTTTTATAATGTATAAACTGTACCAACCTCTAAAAGGGCTGCATGAGGGATGTTCAGTGCAACTGGAGGCTCTCTGCAATTTTTGTCTAGAAAAACATAAGACGTTATAAGAAATTTCTTGAAGAAATTTGAGCCCTTTCTTGCTGATAAATGTGAATGTCCCAAAAAATAAGCTGTGCCACTTTCCCGTGCGTCGATGATTTCTTGAAGTTCTTGTCGTACACTAATGCGCATTTTCGGGCTTTTCGGAGGAAGCAAAAATCGAACTTTTTTCTTTTTAACAGGAGAATGAGTAATTTCTGATGATGCATTACTATCCAGTAAATTCCTTCGGGACCCATTTTCCGACAAGGTTTGAATATCTTCGGTCGAACTGCTTTCTTCAGTCACGGCTATTAATGCACATCCATCCTCCATTGGACTATCTAAAATCATCATCTTTCCTTCCGGTGAAGTCATTGATTCCAAATCATATTCTTCCCTACCGATGAATTCTCCAATCGAACTAATGATGTGATCCTCAAAATCATCTGTATCTCTAACATTATCGCGGTATCCATAACGCACAATGCATCTATAGACCCTGTATTCCTTCGGGCCGACCCGTCCTACGAGGTATCGCTGGCTTTGGGGGATGCAGGGCACGGGTAAGGACTTGAAAGAGACGAGAATCAACACTTGATGAAACGCTGGGAGATTTGTAATGAAATGGGTGAAGAAAGCCGGGATTCCTGTCACGACGTCTGAGTAGATGAAGCCAATGCCTGGCACTCTAGAAACACCTAGACCGGGATTATAATCCGTTAGCCACTCGACTGATACCTTGTTCTCTATATCGAATTCGTATTTCTTTAGGGTACCATAGTGCCAAGAAACCATAATCGTCATGAAAAGCAACAATAAGATCGTTAAACACCAAGCCCCACGGAAGAAGTTTAACAAACTTGTGGACAGATACATGGCTTCAATAGCACCGAAGAATAGCAGAAAACATGCTGATATTAACAAACTCTTCTCCCAGTACAGTGCAATCACAAGCGACATTAGACTAGTCGTTACTAGCATTCCACAAGTAATAGCCAAACCTGTCATAGAATTGAATAAAATTGAATTAGACATGACCGATAAGAAACTTGATTCAATGCCTGTTTGGCATGGCTTTGAAGAAGGAGCTTTTATGCCTGTTTGGAGATTATTTTAGAAGTGTTTTGTCTGATTAAAAAAGTCAGCTTTCAAAGCTGGTCCAAGTTGGCTTCACTAGGAAGCTCTTCTAGAAAAGCAGAAGCTATCCCAATCAAGCCCTCAATATCCACCAAAATCCCTTTTAGCTAGAGTACTCGTATTTGCGAAATTTCTGATCAGTATGTCTGATTTTTGAGTTACACAACGAACATCCTAGAGTGATATGTACCTGTTGCTTTTCCAATTGACGATATGTCATGAAAACCAATGGTGACTGCTAAGCTGAGGGCCATGAACACCCAATTCGCATCAGGAACATAAACCTGTCCGCGTACGTTCTCTGATGTGTGGACAACTTCTACTCTGGGAAAACAATCGAGGGCTTGACACTGATTTATGATGGAAAATCCCGCCGTAATCGTTGCTTGACTTCCCACAGCAGAAGCAAACAGCGACAACACTGTAAAGACGTGCTGAAGAGCTTCTGAAAATCCCATGTGTTCCAAAAATAAGAACCAAGAGTTTACACGTGAGGAAACCATCATAGAAGAAAATAATAGAAGAGAAAACTTACTATTCGGGATAGATTCCCTGAGATGAAAAACATCATCAGTACCCAAGTTTTTGGAGATAAACGCAGTTTGGCCGGCATAAGTTAAAATAAGGACTGGATATATTAGGCAGACAAACGTGATCTGCATTGAAGAAAAAAATCGTAAATGAACTATTTTACTTTTTATATTCTCTAAATCAAATGTAATTCATCTATACCTTGATAGATTTCTTCGAAAAATGTCCTAGATCAGCAAACATTGCCTCCGACCCTGAAAATCAATTTTCTAAGAGTAAAAATGATTATAGATAAAAATTCTATTATAGCAAGCGTGATGCACTACTACTTATAAGCGTACAGAACTAACCTGCAATGCACAAGACAACGCTGCTTAGTAGCTTCCAGTGTCTAAGGTTAATTTTCTTCATGAACCTCAACATGTATATTGGGGAAATCGCATGGATGATTTCATGATCCCAATGAATAATATTATATAGACCTGACCCACACATGAAGAAAATCCATACGATGACAATTGGGGCAAACATGCAACCAATTTTGTTGGTCCCGTAGTGTTGCAAAGTGAAGAGGCAAACCAATATGGCACACGCTACAGGAGTTGGTACATCTGATAATAGCATTTTGAAGAAATCAAGATCTCTAATGAAGTACTAAAAGTAAATTTTCCAATCCAATAAGCACAAAAAGGTAGACTTATAATAGTCAGTCCAACCTCAGAATGCTATCACAGAATAAAATCTATTAAGTTCACTAAAATCAATATATGCCTTGTTTAAGTTCAGATAAAAGAACTTACATTTCTTCAACAACTCCGCAGCATGGTGTTTTGTTTTATCAGAAGAGAAAACTGGTAAAAAAGGCAAGCTAAGTTTTAGTCTGTACATGTTATCACTAAAAGTTCTGTACAAATAAAAAATCACTATTTTTTTTTTTTTCCATTTTTTGGGTCCAAATACATGCAAACTCACATTTCTTTGTAATCATTCCCAGTGATCTTCCAAGACCTTTTGCTGCCGACAGCACTGAAGGGATGAAACAACAGAGTTAGTTGCATAATCTTGTCAAATAGGGTTTATTAACTATAGTAACTACATAAATCAATCAATTCAAATAGAAATAGATAAACGGGCGAACCAGAAATAGCCGGGGTAAGAACTGTGTCGCTAATTATCATGCAAGCACCAAGCAAAGCCAAGAACAGCAGTAAATAATGACTGCTTTTATGTTTTTCAATGGCCTTTCTAGCTTTAGATTCCTGTTTTTCCTTACGACTTTCTTCCTCGTGATGCACAATTTTCCCGGAATTTTTATTACACGGAAGCAGCCCAACTTTGACGTGCCTGCAAAGCAGCGAGTACAATGAAAATGTACCACCTGCAAAAGTCCATGAAATTATGAGTTTCAATATACACTACATTAGAGTCGATCCTTTATCTTAAGGGTTATCAAGATCGTTACCCTCTCCATCGTCATCCGCTCTCATTACAATGAAGGCATACTTCAGTAAGGGGATAATAGTTAAAGTCCAGAACACAAACGAAAAGAGTTCATGCATCTCCTCACGCGATTCAATATCCTTCGGATCAATTGATCCAAATACGTACAAGGGAGCGGTGCTCAACCGACCATATACCACTCCAAGGCTTTGAAATGATAAAACGAGTGTACGCGTCCATGTCTCTTTCTGAAGATTTTCAGGTTAAACAGAAATTTGACTTGAACAACAAAATCCGAACAGCTTGATAAAGAAATATAAGAACATACAATGGTCCAAAATGACTGATTATACATCATCCAATAATACAAACAACTCAAACAATATTGTTATCTAAGGAAATTTTTTTCCATACCTATTGGATCGTTTGNAAACACAGAAGCTGGTAAATAGTTTCTGAATCGGATCGAAAAGATCAATGTAATTTACATTTTTATATAAGTGAAAAATAAGTATAGAAAAGGGTGAAATAAACTTACCTTAAATTCATAAGACATTGAAACTGGACCAAGTGCTGGATCCATTACTCAGAAGACAAGAAAAAATGGGTTCAGACAAGTAGAAATAAGTCGAGACAGTATTAATCCAACTTTGTAAGCAGGACAAAGCTTCAGGCCTGCAAGAATTTTTCACAAACGTTGAAGCCTAGGAATTTCAGAAGGACAAAAACAAAGGGAAAGATCTGGACCACTAAGGAAGAGAGAGGAGAGAGGGGGTATATATATATATGTATAATGTATCTATATGCATGTGCATATAAAAGGATTTGAATGCACAAACAATTTTGTGTTCAATTTATTGGGACCGAGAAACGGAAACCTATCCGACATATGCAGTAGGGTGTGGAGAGTGATTCGATGCTTACAGATGGCTTTCCGTTTCAGCTACACAGTTGGAAATGGTTTTATAATTCATTTTTCTTCCTAAGCTGACTGACTACCTATTATCTAATAAAATAATAGTACACGTGAATTAAAAAAAAAAATTTTAAATTTTAAGCTCTCATTTCATTCTCATTTTTTAGCCACAAAAATAAAAAATATGACCGTTATTCATCATATCAAACTACCATATTTGATTTTCTATCTCTTGTGTAGGTTCCGTAACGATTATATTTTTCATTTTCATTTTTACAAAAATTGGTATCAAACAGGGCCTAATCTTACATTCTTCAAAAAATTATTTTTTCTTCCATTATAATGTGAAATAATGAGGGCCAAACATGTGCTAACTATTTTTTCTTCCCAAAAAAAAAATAATAAATTTGTGGGTTGTGGGCCCCATGTGGTGTGAGGATAATTGACATAAAGTTAGGATATATTCCATTGGTATCCCAAACGTTTCGTGTGTATGGCATCTATATCCTCAACCTACTATTTGCTACAAACACGTCCCCAGCTAGCAGAACACGTAGAAATGGCAATGGGGACAAGGTAGCCCTCCCAATCTCTCAACCGCCAGAGATTTTCAGAAGACGGTAGGAAATGCGACAAGAACCATGTTTTCTGTCCGTCACAAATTGGGCAAGGGTAGGGTATTTTTTATCTCAAAGAAAAAGTTTATCTTAATGGTAGAAACATAATGTGATACTTGCAACGCGGTGTTAGGAATGAATTAAAACAAGAGAATATATTTAACGAACACTAAGGATTTTTATCCAATTTGTATGTTTAAACAAAAAGTGTAAGTCATTGTTTGGTTGGTTTGGAACAAAGAAATCTTTATTGAACAAGTTTATAGTTTGAATTTGACATCACGAGTTATGTAGCTATTTAACATTCAGGACATGACATGACTACCACAATTTGAGTGCATTTAATTGTCAATATTTTTTTATGAAAAATGTATATTTGACCCAAATTCCTATTTTTTGCTGCTTGACTGACCTTTTTTTTCATGATCATATTTTTCTCAAAATCAAAGAAACTATTTCTTTATGGGGAGTAAAATTTTATTTTCTAGAAAATTCACTCTTTCTTTCTCTCTCTCATCTATCCTATCCTACGATAAAAAAGGGACAAATATAATATTTTCTAAATTAAAAATTAAATCAACAACGCACATTTAATTGACTATTTCCATGCAAATAAGTTCTAAGCAATTGAATTACCTAAAAATTATTTTCTTTCCATACAAATTTCATACTTTCAATCAAATGCACCCTTATTTTCAAAATTAGCAACCATCACATGATTAGTTGGCACATTACCATAAATGTAAGACACTGCTTTCAACTTTTAAAGTTCACATAAGATAACAATGTTTAAGAGACACAGAACAACTAAGATCAAGGAAAAATGAAGCTCTAAATTAAATAAGATAACCTAATTGACTTAGTAACCAAAAATAAAATTAACCCATCCTTTCCTCACCCCATCTCTAGTGGACACGAAATATAATATCACTGCTAATGTGACAACATGTGGCTTTGTCACATAGCCGATGAGGGTAAAAGCCACATTAGCTGTGAACATTATAATCTCCTACCCACTATGGATAAGAGATTAGTTCTGCCTTTCCCATTCTTCAAACAAATATCACACATCATCAACAAATTAGAATTTATGTCCTACACATTAAATATCACATATAGCCCAAAACCAACGTTAGTACTGTGCCATACAAAACAAAATTTTGTCCACTTACAATATTATCCGTCCACAACCAAAGTGTCAACCGAAGTGTCGTCGACTATGGATTTCAATCTTAAATCACACAATTAAAATGAATGAAATACGACAGATATGAATCTAAAACACAAATAAAAACATTCTTTGTAATTTATTACTGACATTCACCTAAGCATGGGAACCTTCAAAACTACTATAACCTCTAATAAAGTCTTGATTCACTGCTCTTCACCACAAACTAACAAGTGAAAGCTCCTTAGAATGCAGATTAACATGCAATTTCAGATTCTTGGATCTTGAATCCATGTGCATCCCTTCTCTAAAAATAATAAAACTAGTAAACGAAACAGAAGAAGTGTGTATCTTCAAGCCATTTTACTTTGAATCTGCCTATGGATATGCACTAGAAATTCAACATATGAAAGCCCACTTGGAGTCTTGTCCTCTACCATGTACGAGAAAAACAACATCCCTGCAAAAATTAAACAATAAAAAAAAATTAAAAATAAATAAATAAATAAATAATGATAATAATAAAGAAAAACGTATGTAAAACGATACAGCTAAGCATACACAAACCGATTTGTCCTATCAAATTTTATTCATATAATACTCTCATGCTGGCCAAATTTCAATAACCCCTAAAGTCCTCCATTCACACTGCAGAACACTTCCATGCTCGTCTCATTATGTCAATTTCTGTGTTTGTTTCACATCTTTGCCCCCCCCCCCCCCAACCCCCCACAAAAAGGAGACATGGAGATATCATTGGGTGCTATGTGGTGCTAGGGGGTTGTATAATTCACTAACCTGATGGATCCCCTTTTCTGCACAATTTTACGCTGTAAGGAGAAGAAAGAAACAATATTAGAAGAGAAAGTTGCCACAATTATATAACCAAAATTTTAATTCAATAAAGACGGCAACGTAATGCATTTGCATAGAGGAATTTATACCGTAGGTAGGAACATCTCTGTCGCCTTATCTCATTTACAACATAATTCAGCTTCTTCGACAATGGATTGTCATATTGCTGCAGTACATACTGAAAAGGTACAAGACTGTTAAGGTGGAGACACTAGTTGAAGTTTTCAGCACAAATAATGCATAACAATATGTATGCAATCCCATTCCAGAAACGTTGGCAAGTACAGAGTCTAAACTTGGAACCGGAATCAGAAGTTCTAACTAGAAGAATATTTACAACATTTATTTTTAAAATACTCTTGTGGTTGATATGTTGTGGACAATACTCTTGTGGTTGATATGTCGTGGACAACTTAGCGGGCAACGTACATATACATATACATACATGAAGGTTCAGATCACAATCAACAAATAAGAATTACAAAAACACCATGTAGAATTACCTGATTAGGGACTTCTTCAACTGAAGAAATGCCAAACAACTTATGCAAAATATCCGGATTGACAGAATTGCCAACATAAATTAAACAATCTTCGCCATTCTCAAGGAGATATATTCCTTCATCAGAAATGTCCTCACTGGAAAGTGGGACAGGAGGAGGAATCGGGGAATCATCCAACTCCTGGCAGTTCAGTATGAAGGTATTAGAGGAAGGAGCATACTAATTACAATTCAATATCATAATACGGAAAGATGCATACCTTCTCATCAAGATCATGGATGGTTATCATCCTGGGGTAAACCAATGGGATTGCCAAAGTAGCAGACAAAGGGGAAACATAATTAATCCAATAGGACCTATCATCGACTCTTCCATCAGCTCGCAATCCACTGCTTTTGAGTAAAGCTGGAAAACGTAGAAGGAACTAAATAAACATAAAATTGGAAAAAGCGTCCTACTCTTTCACTCAATTTTTTTAATCCTCAAAATTAGATTAAGAAGGTGGTATTAATGAACTGTAGTGATTTTCATCTGATGAACATCACAATGATAATAATATTTTGTTCCAATGTTCATAATAATAAGAGAAATTTCAATGAAGTAGCAATTGCATGACCATATGCAAAATCAGGACACAATGACTTGGGAGGTGAAACCTCATTAGCTAATACAGTAAGTTATTTGATAGGGGCCACTCCAGTTAAGAGCAAGACTTAAAGAGCTGAAAGGCATGACATGTATAAAGCATACCGAGTGTGTATAGAGGCAATAGTTTAAGTGCCTCAGGAAGAATGAGTTGTCCAGAAGATGACGCTGTAGCGCAAAATTTGCGATAAGAGTGCAGAATGTTGATGCAAACATTTGTTGCTTGCTCCCTGGCCTGTGTAAGTGGAGCTGAGGGAATTTCACCAGCCACTGTCACGTGAGAAAATCAGAAAGCAGAATCAGTATGTAATCAAAAAAGTAGAAATCAATGATAGAATTTGTTTATAATTGGACAAAAAGCAACTACAGGAGGCAGGGAAATAGAGGGGTGGGGTGAGGAAGAGCAGAGGCTAAGCTTCGCACAAGGGACTATTTTCAATAAAAACACACATTATGCCAAAATCATTACTATTTAGATGCATAAACATAATAAAGAGACGAAATCTGCTGTAAATTCTTAACTTTAAGAAATTTAAGGACAAAATTAACAAGGCACGTGCCCAGCAAACTACCTTGCTTCAGGACACAAGCAAATTGGGTATCTAAATCCGCAGAGCGAAACAGATTACTCAGCATTGTGGTGCATGGAAGGGACAAAGTTGAAACCCGGATTCTTCTTTGCCCATATACAGTGGTGTAGAGAAGAGCACACTAGACAACACGAGCATACCAAGTGATCAGACGATCAGTCGTATCTTCAACAAAAAGAGAGAAAAATATCACAGAACTAAGAGTTCCAAGTAAAACACTTTATGCAAAGAATTGAGATTGACCTGAAAAGCACATTCTGATCCTTCCTGCAATTTATCGTCATGTTTTAAGGTTACCATTATTGTTTTGTCGCAGTCAATCTGCAAAAGTAAAGTCCTAGTTGAAGGCGAAACAGGTCCATGCCATTATAGAATCACAAATCAAAATAAAGTTTAAGTACTAGGTGCAACAACAGTAACAAACAAAGACCTTCCCGTTAAATTTCTGTCAACCATTACAACTAAAAGCTTAAACTATTAGAGAGAGGCCACGTGTATTCATTTAAATTGTGTCTTCAACACGCCCCCCACATGCAAGTCGAGTTCATTTTACTCATCAAAGGCCCAGCACATGCACACCTTTTAATAAATAGGTGACGGCAATACTTGAAGCCTGGTCTTGATTACTAATACAATCCCAATACAATAAGTAGCATCATATGCAGTATGTCTTTTGCGTGGCTCTAATACCATGTTAACCATCACATCTAAAAAACTTGAGTTGTTAAAAAGGGGACATATGATTCATTTAAATTCTCTCTACAAAAATTTGGGTTAAGGACAAATGTGAAACCACCAAGAAAATTAAAAAGAAGGAATTGTAATTGCAACAATGAAACAATCTAAACATTATGAGTACTGTTTTTCTTATCTTAGCAATCATTCCAACCAAAGGACTTGAAAGTTTATCTTAAATATACTAGAGATGTTTCTCTCAGTAATAGAAAATAGTGGAAATGCCACTTGTAGACTAAAATGGATGCAGAAAGACTATGTCGGCTTCAGAGGATGCATATAAGAATGAAAAACTGATACTTCAGAACTTTGCGAACATCATGTATTCGGTGATCAGTTGGCAACTGTGACATTAGATAATTGATATAGGTTATTAACTAAAGCCTGAATATGGTCTAGTAAATACAAGATCAAAAATGGTTTTTTGTAATCAAATTCTTCTAATTTTCGAACCGTGTCAAGATCTCGCACATCATTAATAAACACCAGAATAGGTATCTAGTAATGTAGAGAGAGAGAGAGAGAGACGTACGGCAGGTAGATCAACATCTGTTGGAATGCGTTTACAGAAGTTCCCAAAGTATTCCTGAACTTGAATACCCTAACAAGAAAAATATGAATTTTAACTTATTGTACCGCCTGTCAAACATTGAACTGTTCTCTTCCCATGAATAGAAATATTATCAGCATAGATGACAAGCTAAGAAAAATCAGACTATAAAAAACACACCTGGCTGCATCTAACTCGCATCACTGCCTCAAAGCCTTGAGGCCTCGTGACATTCCACCGAAGATCATTGTAAAGCTTAGCAGGATCAGACAGAGCAGAGAAAGGGTAATAATAATATACCTGGAGAAAAAGTTAAAACTTCTGAAATCAGACCTCAAAATCAATGTCTGAAACACGAAAAGATATTCGATATGATAATGAAACTAGGATGTGTATGACTGAAAAATGGTTCGAGGAAAAAACATTTCAAGCTAAATTCTTAACATTGAGATAACGGATGATACGACTACAAAATAAGGAGTTAAGTTACATAATTCTATATTGACTAAGAAAACAATTAATTCAATCATTACCTGGCCTCCTGTAGTTTTTGTGACAACAGAGATGGAAGCGATATCTACGTATGTTTGCGTTGTGATGAACAAGTCAACACATACCTGAAAGTGTTGAAATAGTAAATGGCAAGGACACAAAGTAGTGGTTATAAATCTGAAGAAACGGCAATGTCAAAATCTAGGTAACATCAGCTATTGTTTAACTTTACCTGGTATTCAGCAAATTCAATGGCCATTGTTTTTAGAGTTTTATCTGCCGGTTGGAGTAATTTCTGAGCCTCCTGAAATCCAATGATGAATACAATTCTATTTATTGAAGATAATAAATTCGACTTCATACTTGTTTCTAGCAAATGAAGTTCACAAATCACCATGGATTATGCAAAACATAGATTATCGCATACTCGTATATTAAACAATACAAACTATTGACAGATTGAGTTGAACCACAAACCATAAACTACACTAAAGAACAAAAGGAAGATAAAAAAGTAAACTGTAGATAAAGCATCCATACCTTTTCGCCTGCTGATTTATTGCTTCTTCCTTCAGCTTCTCTAGCAGAAAGGGATCCAATGCCAATTGACGACAAGACTGTAACATCACAAACAGTCAGCACATTCTTTCTACAACTACACATCATCAATAAGTAAAACATATTTGGAATGTTACCAGATTGGAAAACTAGGAGTTTGCCGCCAGAACCTTTCATCGCCAAGAAAGCAGCCTGAAGTGCAAAACGAAAAGCATAAAATATTTATGTAAATATATCGATTTAAATTGATTGAGAACATACAATATGAAAGATCATACCCAAGTGTAGTGAAGTCATATAATTAAAGAAAATTCCTTATGATAACTGACAGGTGCCACACTGAAGATTTTTTGTGATCGATACAAGGTAAAGCAGGCAACTACTTCACAGGAGCGTGTTTAATATGTTATATTCAAGATTCCATCGGATAAATTCCTACATGAGGTGATCTGCCAATAGCAATTTCCAATTTATTTGTAACTAGACCTCACAATTATTTGGCCAAAATGGAATTTAGAGAGAGACCATTCTTCATCATAAGAAGTCACTAAAATTTTTGAATAAGATGCACTTATTACTTATTGTTTCTTATCCACAAACTAAATTCTCTACGATGAAGTCTTCGCAACTGAAAGTGTAAACGGAATTACTTGAAAATTTTTATTAACAAGATATTTGACAACCAAAACATTAGTGTATAATGTAAGTGAAATGGAAATGACATTAAATTCCTGTACCTTTATTGCCGCACCAAAAGCCGAATCAGTCGTTCTATTGTTCTGAAACATAGTTGGGATGCTTTCCAGCAAAAGCTCTAAATGTTGTCGACACTGCAGTTGGCAATCATTTCGAAAAATTTTAACATCTATGAAAAAATTAATAACTCAACACTGACCCTCCTTAGCTTCCCCAAACATACATAAGGAAAAGCACGAGAAAATAAGCAAAATAGGGAAGGAGTTTGGAAAATAGCAATTGATACAAAACTGAAAGTCAAATATTTGTAAAAAAAGTAAAACTATCCATTAAAAAGAGATGATACGCGATGATGGATGGTAACCAACCTCAGAAAGTTGAACGATAACGTCACTTTGGAGAGGAGTATAGACATCTTGTACATCAGGGACTATAAGCATCAATGGCTGCAATCAAACAGAAGCATAATATCAAAGCAAGCATTCCCTGCAACATCGACTGTGACTGACACAGCTAATGCCAACTTTATTTTGATTGCAAGATAAGGTGATAAAACATAATACAGGGATTTTGTATCAGGAACAGTAAGCATGTGTTTGGCCCCCCATTCTTTCCAATTTTTTCAATATCATTTTCATTTGTGGTCCCCAGGTTTGACACGGTTGCTTCTTTCTAACCAAGATGGCTACCATTTTTTGACTTTTCCATGTAGTGGTCCACATATAATTCACCCAATTTTCCAAACGTGCCCTTGACATGTTATTATAGGTAATGGTGTCAACAGACTTGGCTAGGTGAGGGTAAATAAGTCCAACCAATTTCCAACGGTCCAATAAAGGCAAATTAAAGCCTGACAAAGAAGGTTAAAAATTTTGAATAACGTAGCCGATAATAAGCATATAATGGCTGAAGAAAATTTAAAATATTTATAAGAACCAAACAAATGATAATCCAACCTGTTGTAATGCACGTTTTAGGTTGTAAAAATGGATGCTTGAGTCAAATGTAGCAATGCCCACCATCGTCCGAGGACCCTCCTGCAAGAAAAAGATCATCAATTTCAAAAATGATTAAGCTTTCTCTATCTTGGAAAACGTATCTAGTGTCTCCAATTACACATGCACTCCTTCATTCCTTTGTATGTTTTTCCCATTTCAAGAATTCGGGAAAAAAATACCCCTTTTTTCCCCCCCAAGGAACAGCAAACAATGACAATAAATTGGAATTTAGTTATTTCAAGATAAGAAAAGCAAGAATGGAGTTCTTAGATGGTTTCTTGGGATGAGTTGATTGAATTCATAGATGACCTACAGATGCAGTGTGTTGGAATAATTGATTATACCAATGTTGGACTAATTGGCAATAGATTTGTATTCTCCATAAAGAAGATAAAAAAACCTTTATTGTTTGTGCTGTATATTTTTATAATAATACTATCTAACACCAGTCTAGGTGGCTACACTTTATAGGTTCAATTAAATAAGTCATGTGACTTCGCATTTAAATGAATCTATTATTTAATGTCATGTAATTGTCACCTAAACTGACGCATAACACCAATAGTGATGAATAACATTACTCATATTTTTAATGGGTAGGTGATAGCTGCTATATTTATTAGATTAGTTGAAATGGGGTAGAATAAATAGCCCGTCTTTCTGTTGAAGGAAAAGTAGTTCTCTCCTCGGAAAATCTACAGAGTAATTTCGAGGTGTATTACTTCATGTTATGTCCTAAATAAAGAACAATGAGAATATTAGCAAATCCAAAAGGAAGATTTAAAAGATATTTATTAAAGAAGAAAAAGAAATGAAAGTAATGTCAGGAAATTCTCCAATGAAAAGAAGGTAAGACAACAACACATATTAACACAAATCGTTCCCAAAAAACAGCAGGAAGTTGGAGATAGAAGGAGCAATTCAAAGAAAGCTTGCATAATACAGTTATTTGGAACTCAAAGGAAAAAAGGTAAAAGCATCCTATTAAGGCACTCATGTTTTCATTTCCTGTATGTCAACAAACAATAAACCCCCCTAATTGACCTTTTCTATGACCAAAACTTTCAACAAATTTTTACCGAAACTTCTGTCAAGAACAGCCTCCAAAAGCTGTTAAATGATTCTGTAGCTCTTGCAAAGTAGACCTTATACAAAAACAACGTCAACCAAACAATTTATATGGCACTAAGAGCAGACAACAACAAATTAAGCATCTTCTAAATGATCAAAAGAAGGCATTAGAGCAGTCTCCTCTCAGGATAATTACCTACATTACCAGTACTAAGCTCAAGACTTCAAAATCTATATACCCAGCAAATGAAAACAATATAAAATTAAATCAATCAAAATATCGGCCAACTGGATAATGGAGGGTACTCGAATCAAATATCTCCAAGTGAAGATACCAATTACGAACTTACAGGAAGATCATCTATAACTTGGTTGATTGCACTGCAAGCTGCTGCAGTTGCACCAGTCTGTATGGAATTCATGGATACATCAATAAGAAAGAAAAATACAGCCGGCATTGGTTCTCGCACCTGAAATAAGTAATACGTTCAGAAATTATCAAGTGGCAAACAAATGCAAATGAAAACTTGCAGAATGCTTGCATCATAAACAGGAGTTAGAATCGAATATAACTCCCGACAGCAAAGTGCTTGAATAGCAACTAGGGCCCAAAGAAAGACTTTCCAATGTAAAAGATCTTGTCGACCATAAATATAGTATACTTTTAAGACTTGGATTTCCATCTTAAAAGATCAACCTTATTAAGAGGAGTAATCCAAAATCTTATAAGTTGGTCTATTTTTCATCTTATACAATGTGGAATTATATCCTTAACATGCCCCAACAAAATGGTGGCTAATTTATGCAAACCAAACTTGAGATCTGTATGCTCATTTATGAGTTTTAATCGGATTGAATCGCTCGTTGAAACTTAATGGGCTCTAATACCATATTAAAACTTGAGGTTCCATCTTAAAAGGTCAACTTTATTAAGAAAAATAGCCCAAAACCTTATAAGTTGGTTTACATTTTCATCTTATATGATGTAGGATCATATCCCTTAACATATACCATTTGAAAGGATTGAGGCAAGCTCTCAAAGATTTTTTATTATTTTATTTTTTGAGTAAAAGCACTTCATAGAAAACTTTTTTGAGTGTTCCATCATATTCCTAAGATGCTCCAGCAATGACTTATAGAAATAATTTAAGTAGTGTGACTTTTAAAACTGTTCAAAATAGTCAGATTCTAAGAGAATATATTGCTTAAATAGTATCATGGAAAAGGTTTTGATAGTTATAATTGCAAAACATCTAAATTCACCATACGCCCTTCCTGATAAGTCATTTAAAGAGGCTTCTAATAAAAGACTTCCAAATGCTGTGGCAAAAGAAGACCTTTAAATCTCAAAACTCACAAACAAAATTCTGATACAAAGCTAAGTTATGCCAAACTGAAATTGAAGTTACCACCAAATGATCAGTCTCATTGAAGTGATTATTTTTCAGTATCAAACTAGCTTCCTGGGCAGAGTGTACGACTCTATTCAATTAATAGCATTATCCCCAACGTTATAGTGTCACTGACTTTATCACCAATGAAGTACCAAATCGAATTTAGGTCAACCAAAATGTCACTAACCATGTATTCCTTGGTAGCAACAAATTCAACAGTTCCTCTGCATAGCTCAGGTCTTTCATCAGCATCTCTACGCCTACCGTCTGGACCTAAGTTGCAGTGATAGTCACGTGGAGTTTCATCTGTAAATCCTGTAAAATAAATGGTAAGAAGTGAAGGCATATAGTTTGACAAAATGAATGTAGTATGCGACTACCAATTATAATGTTAGCAAGGCATATGCCTAAAATATACAAAAAAAATTGTAATAACTACAAAACTTTACTCCATGCAATCCTTCAACAAACAACTGAGAATATAGCTAAAGGGTCATAGGAATTCAATATACTAGTGCTTTGGTTATTATACAACATGAAAAATCATTCCTATTCAGCTCCATATATTTCTGAGTTTCAAACTATGGAAAGACAAATAAGGCAACCCTTGGAAAATTGAATCTAATTGATTAGTAAGATGAAAATTTTGAAGAAAGCATAAATGGTAAACCAATAAATTATTACAGTGACATTGGGAAAAAACTGTTATTCTTACCACACAGGTTACAAATGAAACGCCTGCCTTGATCAATAAACTTCATGAAAGGATTTATGTAACCTTTACAACGAGAACATCGAACAGGACCACTTTCCCCAAAATCCACAACCTGAGGCATAGGAGCACAAATCACTAAGAAAAGTCCCAACGGAACCAATGACTCAACAATGAAATGGGGACAGAAAATGTAAAAGATGAATAAATTATGAAAACATGCCAAATGTAAATGTGAAACACTTTAAGACATAAATCAAGTGCTTGAAATAAGGATAAGCAGTCTATCAGAAATCACCGGCCAACCACCACATTGGATCTGATTTAAGACCAACAGCTTTTTTCAGTTCAAGTCGACTGTCTCACGTCATATAACATAATGACTATGATCATCATTAAGGATGGCAATTTAAACCGTCAAAACCGAAAATCATGGTTAACCGAATTGAATGAGGCAAAAAAAAAAAAAAAAATCGAACCAATGGTACAATGGGGCAGATATGGTATTTGATTTTAACGAATCAGTTCGGGGCAGTGCGGGTATGGTATTTACACAGTCACCCCGAACCGAACCGATTACCCGTTAAATTTATTTTTTTCCACCTAAATAGCAATCAAATGCAAAACATGTATAAAAATAAATCTAGTTTGGAAAAATCCACAAGGGCCTTTTTTCTTCCTTTGCAGTTACACATGATGGTTATCAACTCGCTCTTGAAGCAAACTCAATCAATAATTTCAATTACAAAAAAATTTATTCTTTTACGATAAATTTGATCATTTGATTAGTTTTAGGTATCTGGAATGGCTTGAATTTAGGTATACATAGTCTTTGCTTTTCTTGATTTGTCATCAATAACCTAGACATCGCCCTTGGTACCATAAATCGTCGCCTTCTTATATATATACCCTCTATTGACCCTTTGTACAATTTTGATCTAGTAAGTGATCAACAACGCAAATTGTTTGAAATGCTCCAATATAATTCACTCGACTATCGGTTAATAACCATCATGTGTGGCTTTTTTTCATAAATTGTTTTTTTCAATTCGACGACTGGGCGTATGAAAAAAAATTTATTTTCATGGCTATTAACCGTCCCGAACCGAGCCAAATCAAGATATGAACCGAACCGAAACCGACTTATGTGGTTATGGTGCATTTATGGTATGACAAAAAAATTGGCGGTTCGGTGATGATTTTGACCGAACCGACTCCGAACTGAACCGTTGCCAACCCTAATCATCATGCTTGCCAAATTTCAAGTAGACATGCCTGAATAGTGGGATCTATCAGTGAAGAGGCATCCATTTATGCATAGCATCTTTGATGCTAATAGGAACAAGAAAGAATATTCACAAACAACAGAGATCATAAAAATTTATCCACCTGTCCAATCTTGATATTCACGAGATGTGCCTTTTCTCACAAGTACAACGTTCAACCAATCTCTTTAGTCATTACAGAAAAAAAGTTTTAGAAAGAGCATATGTTTAGATCAAATAAGAATAACTACAACGACCAGATAACAGAGCAAGCAACAAAGATACCTTCTGACAAACAGTGGAGTGTCAAATTATGGATAGCAAGAACAAATAATCGAAGTGTATACAACTATGACTGGTTAACAAATAATCAGAGTGCATACAACTATGACTGATTATCTTTGATATAATGTCATGTTGTTAATGAATGCAAACTTCTTCATACAACCAATTAAGCAAAATAATCTCTCATTTTTGCCATTTAAACAGAAGCAGATATAAAAGATAACATGTAGGAAACAAAATTTCAAGCATTACTTGGATAGGCTCCTCAGATGGATGGGGAAGAGCTAAAGGCTGGACCAACAAGGCCAACTGCATTGAAGATGTTGATAAAACGTCTACGGTGCATGGAATCTATAACAAACAAAAGCCTAAATCAATATTAGCATTAAAATTGTTAATATAAAGAATTCAATAGCATGTAAGAAAGAGTGAAAGCAGAATTTAAGAGAAAATGAAAATTAATGTTTACGTAAAGATTTTAGAAGTATTAATAACATGAAATTAGATACATGACCTGATTAATAGTACATCTCATGTGACGAGGACTGCAATTCCCAGTATCTTTGATGATGTAATCACTTGTTGCAGGCTTCACAAGAAATAGAAATAAAGAACTTTTATTATGGTAAAACTTGTGACGTGATTGATGAATTCTTCTCTAACACTCAACAGTTCATGAATTTGCATCACAAAAACAAATTTGAAACTATAACCAAAGTGCACGTAATTCAATAAATAAAACATAGAACACGACATAAAACAAATATCAAGTGATCCATTCCTTCTCTGATAATAGCACAAGTAATTACCGGAGGGGGGTTTGCCTGATTTCCCTGGCGGGTCTCATGTATAATCACAGAGGAACTTCTAATCGGGCGAGGAATTTGATTGGGATCAATTTTCGACTGTCCTGTATGACTCAAAGACATAGATTGATTAGGAAGTTGCACTGGGGCTGGCGGCATTCCGTACATCCTTTGCTGTTGGATAGGACCAGGGACTGGAGGTTGTGGAGCCACCTATACAGGAAACCAAGTTTAAAATGTATATTTAAAGAAATGCAAGCTTAGTTCTATTTTGCCAATTGAAGAGATTATTTTAGAGCTGCATCATCACTGAACTGTCCCAGTTTAAGAAACAAATAGAATGCTGCATGGACCTAAATTCATTCACTACATCCTTCTTATCACCTGTTCAAATGTGAAATCATCAATGTCATCCAAGAGATACACTTTATGTGATTAAAAATGGACCTTTGTCATTTAGTTGGAATATCTCATAGGTGCAAGAGAAAATATAAGTTCTCCAAAGCCCAGGTCATCTAGCCAAATATAGTTCTCAGTTTGGAAAAGTTGTTAGCCACTCATATAGTGTTAAAACATGATGTGATCTAAAAAAGAAGATTCTATAAATTACAACTTCAGTGATTACAAGGAAATAGTAGAATTATTGGTCATCATCTTCTTCCCTGATTCTATTTAAGTTCTCAACTAAAAAAATAAAATAAAACTTGAGATTAAGTTCCAGAGCAGTAATATTCTCTTCTCCAAAATCAGAACTTTTTTCCAGTTTTTAGGATTTAATCATGTTTAAAAATAAATAAATAATTAAAAATAAACCCAAAAAACAGAGGCTAATAAAAGAGCTTAAAAAATAAAAATGAAGGAGTGCACATCTTAACTGCCCTCAGATTTAGTGAGGCATAAGCCTTGACAAACGGCATTCAAAAGGTAAGCTTTGGGGCACTTAAACCTCGCCTGATGCGCACCTCAAGACAAGTTATGAAACAATATGACCACTTTTTAAAGTTAGAACCATATCCTAGCTTGTTTTAGTACCTATCCGATGTTTATAGTTACAAGTACACATATCTTTAAGATAATTGCTTACATACATGTCAGGGGCAAGCATTTGGCAAATAGTCCATGTCAACAAAGCATAATCCTGTTAATAAATCATCTCCAACTGGCCAAGACGGAGATCCATTCTAATCTTACTAAATGGTAAAGGGAGTCAACATGACAAATAATGAATTCATCAAAAAAATAATAATAATAACAATAACAATAATAATAACTTTATAAGTAATAACAAGACATAAGTAGTTAAAAAAGGAATTTCTCAAAAACAAAGTTAAATGAGAAGACAACATGAATAGGCTGTAACCTGCCCTGGCTGTAGTGGCCATGTTTGCATCCCATAAGGAGAGCCTGAAGGTTGATGCATGCTTTGAGTTGGTGCTGAAAATGGCAATGGACCTGGAGGAGGTGGTATGTTTTGTTGTGGGGCTGAAAATGGTGGGGCAGGTTGTCCTGTGAAAGGTGATGCACCAGCAGGTGGACTCCCAAAGTTTGGACGCATTTGTAGAGGCTGAGCAGATGACCCAGAAGACGTCAATGTTGGCAACTGCGGAGGTCCAACTGGCAGTTGTGATGTACCACCCATGGCAGGAGGGAAATGTGGCCCACCTTGCATTGGCAATGAAGAGAATGCACTCGGTCCATTATTAACTGGGCCAGAAGTGCTCATCTGAGGCGTCACTGGAGGACCTGATGTCGGAGGGGCGGAAGTAAAAGGTCGAGGACGTGCACCTGGTCCTGTTAATGGAGCTGCACCAGGAGGCGGGGGAACAGCAGGACCACCAGTAGAAGATGCCAGTGCCACAGGAGGGGGAGTTCTCATAGTGAACGAGGGAGGAGGCTGAGATACAAATGGTGGGCCGGTGAACATAGTAGATGCCACGTTCGGAGGCAATGTAGCTTGTGGAGCACCGCTAGGAAGCACGCCACCACCCCTGGGAAAAACACCTGGTGGGGGTGTGCGCGGTCGGCTTCCTGCAAAAGGTGGGGGCTGTTGACCAGGTGGTGAAGCATTAGGAGGTCTTGGGGCACCACTACGAGGATTATTTGATTGCTGCTGATTAATTTGTAAATTTTGCATATTACTAGCAAGTGAATTAGTGTTGTAGTTAGGGGGAAAATTCCCTGGCCTCGGTCCCCCTGGAGTTGCCATCAATCCAATTAATCAAAAGCTTATATATTCAAAAATACGGATACTACAACCAAACCTCCCTTTTAACGAATTCCACCCAGTTCATCCAATCCGATCCGAATCTATCAATCCAACCCAAAAAGGAAAATAAATTAAAAAATTATTTTTTCCGTAAAAATGAAAGTAAATCGCCGATTAAAATCGAACCTTAATAATAGATGCCCAAATTCCAGTCCGTCAACAAACAAACAATCCAGCGGTTTCCCTATCATGTTTCAATCAGAACACACAAAATTGAACACAACAGTCGGATCCAACAATTCAACAAAAACAGAACAAAATTTGTGCTTTTAACAAGAGAAACAGAGAATCAAAAGTACCTTAATCTTATGCTTTTGAGGGGGTTTATAATATAAACACGATCGACACGACGCGTAGATAGACGGATAGATTGAAGCAAAACTGAGGTATAAGTACAGGTGAAGTGAGATTTAGAATTTGTGAATTATTACAGAAATTGTTTTTTCCTTCACCTGTTCTGCTTTTACGTATGTGTAGCAAATGGGGTTGGACGGATGACGTGTCGGCACGTGATCACATTAGACAAGCACGTGACTTGATAATTTGCAATTTTCCATAATTCACATTTTAATTATTTTTAAAATTTCATCATGCACTAAAAGGAGCAAATTTCATCCAATGGATCATTTTCCCTCGTTTGCGCCACATTATTTTCGAAAAAAATATATTTTTAAATAGTATATTAATAGAAAATGTATGGTTAAAAAATAAAAAAAAATTAAATTTACATGTAATATCATTTTATTAAAGAATGTATAATTAAAATGATATCAAATATACATTTTTTTCAAATAATATGAATCAAACAGAGCCTAAATTACAGTTTGTCTCGATTGGACAGAACTTCAATTTAGCCTCCATTTGGTTCGACTAGAAATTAAAATTAAAATTTAGATTAAATTTAACAATTAATTTTAATCACATATTTCATAAAATTTCCAAGTTTTTAACTCTACATTTTTATTAAAATCTTCTAAAAATTCGATTTTAATCTAGACAAATTGAAACGTAGTTTCAAATGATGTCATCATGTTACTTCCATCATATATAGCGTCCAAATTGACTAAAGTGCATCTTTTACATCCAACGAGTAACTAATATTCCAAATAATCCTTATGCAACACCCTAAAATGAAAATAGTAAAATAAAAGCTATTAAAAATCTTCAAATTAAAAAATTAAGATACATACTTTTTTTATTTTATATATTATATTGACGTTGTATAATGGTAAACTAGCATCCACACTACGCTATCTTAGAAGATTTGTTGTCCTATGGCGACCAATTAAGAAATTTTCATCAATTTGATAAACGATACAATATTAGAAATAAAAAACCTAACTAATTTATCACGTACTTCTGTTAAGCACCCCGAAGGCTCGAAGCATTAAACTCAAAAAATGTTATTTGCCTTCTTTCCAAGAGAGGACAATATCATTCACGTGTAGTTTATCTATGAACTTACTAAACAATTACCAATCAACTACTTTCAAAATTCTTGTACAACACAAGAAAGTTCAATACAGTGAACAAAAATAAGAAAGGTTTCTTCCTTCCGTCTCAATTAAAAATTCAAATGGTTGGAATCAATATCAACTTGATGTGACTCGACTTCGATAACCAACAGATAGCTCCTCAATTACTAAACTTTTCTTCAAGAATCAGCTTCAGGTTGAAATCATAGTACAAAGGTCTGTAGTCGGCTCAACACCTCGATTCTGAACTTGAAACTGCCAACTCCCTCCTTGCAGAAGGTGCACAAGTTCTTTCATGGACGAAACAAAAGAATGAATAGATTTGCTTCCTTGTATCAACCCCATATTTTTGTCTTGTATGCAACTAATTATTTCAGGTCTAAAGGGTATATGGTATCGAAAACAACTCTTGCAAATACATGCCGAACTTCTTTCAAACTTCCCAAAGCTAACAACTCGTAATCAATCTTACTTCCCTGCTTTGATACAAATCCCTTTTCTTTTCCCCCTCGAACGCATTCAAAAATCTTGCACACCCTCAAATAAAGTGCTAATGGTATATACACCTAAGATGTCAAAGAAAAGGATGAGGCACTTCTCAATGGTCAATGATAAAAGACCACTGAAATGTTTAAAGAAAAAAAAGGAAGAAAAAGAAAAGCATCAAATGGATGCGACACCAAAGGCCGGCATTTTGACATCCCTTTGCCCCCCCCCCCCCCCCCTCTCCCCCTCTTTTGCGTGCTAAATGTCGATCAAGAAAAATTTGTGGATACCATAAGAAGATTGTAAGAGCCCATTTCGCAAGGCAAAGCTGCTTCTTTTGGACTAGGGATAATTTTTCAAAAGTGTTTTGTCTGATAAAAAGAGTTTTAAGAGGAAGTTTGCCAAGGTAGCTTCCTCATGAAGCTCTTCTACAAAAAGCAAAAATTATTCCGAACATGCCCTAGGAAATTAAGAAAGGTTCAGATCTCAATAAGAGGAAAACGGAGAAGGAATGCTTACCAGATCGGAGCGTGGTGCTTTGGGATATTCAGCCATTGCCCGGGAGACAAAATACTCGTCTGTCATATTAATCAGTGCACCTTGAACTGAAGCTGCCAAATGCTTGACCTCATCCCATAGTGCATCTGAATCAAAAGATTGAGGTTCCGATATTTCATGAAAACTCGTGTCATGTCGTTTGGAGATTCGTCTTGCTATACTCAAAGCTTCTGACAAGTCTCCACCATTGTAAACAGCAAGGCTAAATGCAGCAACCACTAAAGGATCTCTTGGTTGATTCTCTAGTGCTTTGTGGAATGCGAAGATTGCAACCCTGGAAAGCACTAAGAAATTTCACACCCCTCTCAATTTACAGATGCAAATGCATAAATAAAGCCTCTGGCGAGAATCTTACCATAAGCTACTATGACAAGGCCTGTCTGGTGCCAGAAGTTTATCTAGGTTGGAGAACAAAGACTGCAAAATAAAGCAATTATATGTTTTCAGTCTGGAACTCACCCAACCTCCCACATCAAAACAAAATCACATGTGCACAGGAATATAATTTTATATTTATATAAATATCAAGGGTAAACACTTCATAAGAGCATTTGTTCCAATCGCATCATGTGGAATCATCTCAGAAGGCTGTATAAAACATTGAAACAATTACCAAAAGCATGTTATACCGCTTGTCACGCCTCCGAAAGCCATAGCGAACAAAATATGCTGCCTGCAAAAAATAGTTTAAAATGCTAGTTAAAATATATATAGCCCCTACTGCATGCAAGAAAAATTTTCTAATTGAAATTTCTTCACCAAGTTCATTAAAATCCACCCAACAATGAAATATACCTGAATTGGTAGAAGTATTTCCAAGAGACCAATTCTCCATAATAATCTCAATGAGGCTTCCGCAGAACCATATGCCATCATGTAATTCATTTCCATGAGAAGCCTCCCCTAATATATGGTTAACCATAGAAAAACAATTACCGCTATCAAAATATGGTGCAAACAAATTGGAAATGAACCCCAAAAAATAAAGAGAGAAAATCCTTCCAAATACCCGATCAAGCCGGAGAACTGAAGAGGATAACCTTTTCACTGCAATACCTGTCTCTTTTGCAAAGCGAAAATCCAAACGGGCAGCAATTCTAACTGCACGAAGAATACGAGCTGCAAAGATGTAGCACAAATGGTTTGGTCACCGCTAAAATGTAAGAGAATGAAGAAACCAATATCGGAGTGTGACTGTGCTTGCTCAAAACAAATGGATTTACATAAAACACGTCAAAGTGCTAGACTAACCAAAAGAATCATCGAAACTGAGATATGAGTAGAAATTAGACAAAATACAAACAGAACTCACCACAATCCTCTGTCAAAGAGATGCTGGCAGGTTTAATGGTTCGCAACTGCAACAGAAGTTAAGATGTAATGTAAGAACATTGTAGAAAAACCAACAGGTTCGAGGAAAATTAAAGATCCATTTAGAGATACATGCACACTTTAGCTTTCCTAAGATCATCAACTCCGCCCAGGTAGTCGTACACCAATTTCGCATATGGGTCAAACATCAATCTGGAAATGAAAAAATGATTAATTAATGACACATATAAAATGACCCAATAAATCAAATCTCAAACCCCACCTCAACCTCCACCCTGAAAAAGTTAAAAAGAGTAACAGAAACAAAGAAAAGAAATAACAATATTGATGATAATAACAACAGTAGTAGTAAAAATAGTAGTGTAGTGCTAATAAGAAGAAGAAAGGATAAAACAAGGATAATAGGAGAATGAAAGCATGAGCATCAAGCAATATTTAAAAAAATTAGCTAGGCTTGAATCCACTACCCATTGATTGTAAAGTCTCGCTCCATGCAATTTTTCCAACGAATGTAGTCCTTCTCATCGCATTCAACAGGCTTCTCAGGATCAAAACCGAAGTCACTTCCAAACTTTGTTACACGGGTGCTAATGCTTGATACCTGATTCATTTTAGACATTAGTTTGTGTATTATGAACAAAAGCACGAAAAAAATTTCCCTCATGGTTTATAAGGAGATACATCTCGCCTTTTGTAATCGAACATTGACGTCATTATGTTTTTATGAACTCAACAGTTCACCCCACCTTCACGCACATTAATATGACCTCAACAATGGTAAACTCAATGAGATGCAAAAAGCATATAATCAACTTTTAGACACCACTGAAAAAAATGGAGAAGAAAAACGAAAAAACAGAGAGAAAGACAGCAATAGAAGAGCAGCGCAACAGGTAGAAGGAAAGGGGTACAAAATGATAGTGTTATTTAATAAAGAGAAAAAAGGGAAAGAATTAGCCTGTGAACATTTTGAAAAGAAAGTAAGTGAGCTTCTATTCAATTACAATTCCAGCCTATTTAAAAATAAGACGAGGAATGACAATTAGAACATCGGCCAAGTAGGTTATGCAGCAAATAATAAGTAATTTTACATATAACCACTGAAATAATAATATTATATATAATTAAACAAACCTCCACAACTATATCATCAATGTGCACATGGCAGATGGGGAAACGTCTCCCAACTATTTCACATCGAGAGAATGTTCTCATCACCTGAAAATTATGACAAGCCATGCTGTGTCAAAAGAATTAATGTTTAAAAGTTAGATGGTAAATTCAAGGAATATAAAAGGACTGCAACTGGTAGTTATTTTTCTACATCGAAGCAAAAGCCTAATAATGTTAATGGTTTGTAAAGCCTTTCTAGTTTCTCCATACAAGTTTGAATCTCCACAGTGGCTTAGAAGTGCTATTGTTTCCTAACAAGTTGTACCAATCACCGAAACTTTGCAAGAGTTGAGTCATAGTTTGCACATCCCTCGCCTTGAGGAGAAAATCAAGAACAGCTAACTCATTTTGATAGAAAAAACAATATTTAGCAGCTTTAAAATTTGGGAAGTTAGTAAATCAATTTTCCGACTAGACATTAATTACTACTTATGGACACATATTATTAAATTATCTTTTAACATTGAAGTATTGCAGACAACAGATGATCCAAATCCAAAAATAACATGAAGAAATGCAAAAGACTAACCTCTTTCAATTCTGCTGAGGTTAAAATATCAAAATCCTTCGGCGTTCGTCTTAAGATGAGGTCCCTTACACATCCTCCAACAAGGTAAACTTCAAAGCCTACCAAAACACTGACATCGTTCATGGTGGATATTTTATGTTCAAATAAAGAAGCATTATGATTATTTTTCCATTTCAGAATTCTGCTTGTAAAGGTGAAATGGAGGGAAGCTATATAAGAATGATTAGATCAGCTAGTTTAGCATTCCAAATTAATATCATGGGACAATTGTACTGATTCACAATTCAAATGAGTTTAGAAATTTTTGGAACCTCCGAGCATACAAAAGTAGTCTGGCCAAATGAGCATAGGCCATTAGATGCTGCTAAGTTTATTATCGAATATCTAAATGTACCAAAATTTTACGCGAATCTTTTTCTATCACTTTCTACGCGTCACTCATTATTTCCCCATTAATAAGTCTCTGTCTCCACATACACACAATTTTTTCAAAAGATTTGGGCCTACACTTTACATATGAACTATGAACTCAAAAGCCAAGAACATCTAACAAAGGATTCAGATTTCCACAAAATCTCATCAACATAACTTTCATTAGTTAGCAATAAACATCACCACATTAATATTATTTATTAGTAACATATATAAACCGAAAATTATGAAAAATACAGAGTCAAAATATATAAATAAACACATAATGATCAAATTAAGCACCTTTTCTTTTCAGACCATTAAGAACCACTCTTGTGGACCTTGAAATTTTCGAATTACTAATTCCAAGATCATTAGAATTCACTTTCTTCCATTCCACAGTCCTTCTATGTCGAACAGCATCACTCACATTTTCAAAAACTACAAAAAAGTTCCAGAAGTATATTAATTTACAGTATACAGACAACTCGTAACTGACTCTCAAATCAAAAACCCAATTCATATACAAAAATCCCTTACCTTTTTCACTCTCTGTATCATCAAATGCTTCAATTGCTGCAGCACAGCCCAGTCTTACCTGCATAAACTAAAATTGCAAGTATGAATTTACAAAAACACATAAAATCATATAATTGTAAATATATGGATTCACCTTCAGAAAGTGCTGACGCAAAGGAGAGCAGAGATGGAAATGGGGAAGGCGAGAAAATCCGAGGCCTGTTGAAATGGCCATGGAATGTTCATGAAAAAAACAGAGTTGCGTTTATCAGCTGAAAATTATAGGGTTTATCAGCTATGGGGTTTTGATAGTGCAACAAAAATATCCTAATCAAAGTCGCGTTTAAATGTCGCAGGCAAACACGTTTTGGTGAAATTGGCTGGTAAGAGTGGGCCGTGTTGATAATAATTAACAGAAAACCCCAATTTTCTATGGATTTGAGCGGGCCTATTATTTCTTGAAAGGAAAACTTTCAAAAATAACCTAACAAAATGAACTATTACCCAAAATACTGGGTTGTGGCTGCAGTGGAGCCATGCAATGTCATTATGACCAACACTACAGTAATTGTCCCTTATTTGCAATGGCCTGACTTTACATTCTTCAAGTGTTAGTATATATAGAATTCGTCAAAAACCAGAAAACCAAATCTTGGTTGGAGTCTAAAATGGAAACTTTAGCTCAATCTATTGCTATTTTTAGCGTTCACTATATCTGTTATGGAGTTATTGGTGTGAATGATTATTTTTGAAAATATGTTGTTCAAAATCAATAAACACGTGTGTGGAATGGAATGAACAAAATTGGAACATAAAACTAAAACCGGAGGAGCAAGATAAATGCCATGTGACCACATAGCAATATGGCCATGCCCGAAACTAGAGAGGCCAATTTGAAGAACTCCATGCGACCGCATGGAGTTATACCATGCGGTCGCATAGTACAACGAATTAGTCGTTGGACAGTTTTTCGGTGGTTTTCGGTTGGCTTGTTGGCGGCTTTTCACTTCTTTTCTGACACCACTTCGTGAAGCTATGTTCCATAGCTATAAATTGGTGGCTTGTGATCATTAGAATAACAAGAAAAACACTTGAAAACATTGTAATCAGTATATTCATTCCACAAAGAAGAAATCAAAGTTTTCTTCATCCATATTTATATTCCCTTTGTGTTTTTCAAGTTTTGGAGAATTTGTACAAGTGCTTAAGTATTAATTCTCTACAAGGTTTGATTACTCCTACAAACCATTTGCCGTGAAATCCTTTAAGCACCAAGTTATATACGAGAGGGAGCAAATATCGTTTGAGGACAGTAATATAATATCGTGTTTGAGCCTTCATATTTATTTAAGTTTTTTCCATTATTTTAATCTTCTTGAATTTACATTTCTCGGTTTCTTCTCCAAATCCCAGTGTGATAATTTCCCAATAGTTATATCAAATACAACACTAGTAGAGAAGTTGTCGATGACAAATTAAATGTTCATTTAGTTTCCCATTCACATGATGATGAGGGCCTGGCTCAAGATAGTTAATCAGTACTATGTTGGAGCAAATAACAGTATTCAGGTTTTAATGATAACTTATTATACCCCTTTATTATGGAATTACTTTTTGTTTCCTAACTGGAAGTTTATATTTGCCGAAGTGGAGGATACTCTGTGGTTCATGTTTTATTTCGTTTTCATCAAATCAATACATTTACAAACGAAAGCACGGAAAAGTTTTGATTCATTGAGGTTGACTATAGTGACAGTTATAATGATTAGGCATATCTCCCGATTCGCTAAGATCAATTACAGAAGTGGAGGTCTTTCCATTGAAATTTGTTGGTAGATATTCCGATGGTCAATCCAACAACCCAGAAAAGTGTAAATGCTTCTGATGCTACCAAAAATCGTACCTGATGATTTTTCGAGCTTGATGATTCTGGTTGATCACGATCGTGGTCTCCCGGTACCTGAAACAAAGGCAACGAGGTGTGTTCTTGTCGCCCCTCCGATGCTTAAGTCAGAAAGGGAAATATATGCGTGAGGCTATGTGCTGAAGAACAATGAAAAACGTACCTGAATAATGGTTCAAGGTTCTGTATTTATAGTAGTAAATGACATTCTCCTAATTGGACTCAACAAGCTGGATGTCCTCATCTGTTGGAGTCCTGAATAGTTAAGGAGTTGGTTGAATTCCAGAATTATACGTGAGATAGGATTCTTGTGGGAGTTAAGATTCCTAATTGCGTAGGAATTCTAAAGGGTTAATAATCGTCAGTAGTGAGGGGAGGACGTGCTCGAGGACTATGCCCGAGGACAAATGTTTGCAATACGCGAAAGCAGCATGAGATGTGGTCGAGCATAATGTCTCGAGGATGGTCATGCTCGAGAACACCGCAGATGGATTTAAACCTTTATCAAAAATAGTCGTCGGGAATGTGATGATCGGGGATATCAGAAAATGTCCCCATCATAGGCCCCCGTGCATATATGCTCGAAGAATATGCTCGAGGATATGATGCAAAGAGACTAGAAATAAAAGCTCGAGTTTTTAGCTCGAGGATTTCTGAACACCTGTGATCGATCAAAAGGCTGACGTGTACTGACGTCAGCCCTAGAATAGGAAAAGGCAGTAAAAACTGGTAGGGTTGGATGTAGGACACGTGTCCAGATCTAACGGTCGGGGTAGTGACCTTTGGGCTTCCTGCCCCTGTTGCCTATAAATACCCTCCCCTCATTTCATTTTTCACTTTTTTACTCTCAGTAAACTTCTATCGCTAATCGTCGGGATCGGAACTTTGAGTTTTTAGGCGTCGACTTTAAGGTAAGACCTCGAGTTTTTAAGTTATTCTTTAGGCGTTTTTTACCTAGGTCAGGATGTCTAGTAGTAGCAGTAGCGACTCTTCGTCATCATTGTCCTCGAGGAGTACTCCCGAGGACATAGGATGCTCGATCATACCTATGGCTGTCCCAGTTAATGCCCAACCTCGGGCACAAAGTATCTCGACCCCTTTTAGGTACCCCGAGGTCCCCTGTAAATTTAAAGAACATCTAGCAATATCGACGGCTAGGGAGCATGGGCTCATGCCCAAATGCGACATTAGGACGCCAGGGGTAGAGGATAGGATGGCCTTAGCTCGGGATGGAGAGTTCGTGATTTTTAGGGACTTACTTAAGGGGGGATTTAGATGGCCTCTGCATCCCTTTTTTGTGGCCTTATTGGTCGAGCACAATATGAGCCCTGGACAGCTCGTGCCAAATGGGTGGAGGATGCTTACCTATTTCTTTATAGCCTGTAGATACCTAGGAATTAACCCATACGTCGATCTCTGTAGGATGGTGTTCGACCTGAAACAGCTTCCTCAATACACTTGTTTTGCTTACCTTTCGTCCCGAGGAGGGTTTAGATTACCGAGGATGCCCAGTTCCTTGAAAGGTTGGAAAGAAAAGTGGTTTTATGTCGCATCTCAGGATAGTGACCTTCCTTTTAGTCCTAGGTGGGTTTTGCCCGACACTCCCCGATTTTGTGAAGGTCAGGCCTATTTCGAGTCTTTAGAAAGGCATAGGGTAATGTTAGAGAACCTCGAGCCTCTTGTATATAATATAGATGACATCCTCGGGATGACGTTCTCGATCTCGCGGATGTGAAAGGCACTGAGGGTAGGACTTTTTTGCCTTCCTCTTTACTGATCTGTCCTTGAACTTATAATTGTGCTCGTTCTAATGACTTGCTCTTTTTTGCAGAGATGACTTTTGATCCTTCAGCCCTCAGACAGGCCGTGACCAAAAAGTCAAAGGCCCCTCAAGCTCGAGCTCTAGGGCAGAAGAGAGGGAAGAAGAGAGCTCGGGACCTAGGCCCCGAGATTATCAGAAGTGGGCCCGGGGAAACTTCTGCCCGGGGACATACCCCGACCACACAGGCCACTGAGACTCCTACTGGTCCACCTTGGTCACATCCTCGGCCAAGGAGTACTCCCGAGGTTGTTGACCTCGAGGATGAGGTTAGACCTATGCCCTCTTTCCAAAATCAGGAGCCTGACTGGTGTCCTCTAGTGTCAAGCATCGTGGACAAGTATAGGAAGGACCTCGGTTTTGATGAGGGCATGAAGGCTCTGGAATCTCTTACTCTGAAGGTAAGCTCGCCCAATTTACTTTGTCTAAATACAAGATTTAAAAAGGTTTAAACGCTGTGATTACTTAAGCTCGGGTTATATATGGTGTAGGCTCTGAGCATTGCCCAAGGCCTTTCTCTGAAGGGGAAAGATGAGGCCCAAAAGACCACCGAACTCGAGGACTCTTCTCGAGCACAGGAGAAGAGGATAGCCGACTTGGAAGCTGAGCGCTTTCTTCTTCAGAAGGAGCTCGAGGACTCGAAGAATGATGCCCAGAGAGCTCGAGAAGAGGCTGGAACTGCTAAGGGCGAGGCCGAAGGTTTAAAGCTCGAGATCGAGCATTTGAAGGTTGATTTTGAGACTCGCCTGGCTGAAGCTCGAGGGGTTGCGATCGAGGACTTTAAAATGTCCGAGGAGTTTAACGGCCTTAAGGGAGAGTACGCCATGGGCTCGTACTTCCATGCCTTCAAGGAAGCTCGGGCATTTTTGAGATCAAAGCCCGACGCTAACCCCGAGGATCTAAAGAACATCCCGAGATTGCTGATACCCTCGAGCTTTCAGAGTCCGAGGAAATCGTCGAGGACCAAGAGGTCGACGTTGACGGCGAGGACGCAGGGGAGCACAGCCTCGGGAGAAAGGGCCGAAGACTTAGATTAGTTTTTATTTTTTAGTATGATGATAGCCCTTTCTTTTTGTAATTTGAACATGTATTTTACTCGATCAAGTATTTTCCTTCTTGCTGTGTATCAATATCTCGATCACTCAAATAGCCCGACGTAAGATGGTTAATTAACTCGACGCCTAGAGTAGTTGAAACACCTCGAGGACCTAATTTGTGAAAATATTTCTGAATATTATAACGTACACAAAATTCATCTCGAGGACTCAAACTGTAAAACCATTTGGGAACATCAGTGTTGAACCCGAGCATTAAACAAGTTACCTCGAGGACTAAATAATAAAATTATCTTGGAACATCCAAGTGTGAACCCCGAGCACATAGACAAGTTACCTCGAGAACTAAACAATAAAATTATTTTGGAACATCCAAGTGTGAACCCCGAGCACGTAGACAAGTTACCCCCGACGACTAAAGAAGATTAATTATTTTTGAGGACTAATTAATCATCTCGACGATTGAGAATAGCTCAAATTTTAAACAAGTGATAATGCCGAGGACAGTGTAGGATGTAGTTTTCTACACACTTAACACTCGAGGATTAATTTCAAGGGATGGTAGTCCCCGAGGAGTACGAATAATTGTGACCG